ATTTATCTCACAGTTAGTGGAGGTTTGAGTAAATACTTGGCTGGTTCCAAGGCAGAGTGCCACATGTCAGAAGGCAGCCGTTCATGGTGGTGGAAAACAGTAAAGAGCAAAGGGAAGGGCAGCAGCTGAGGCAGCTAGCTAGCCTCCTTCCCCTCCTTACATTGTAATGCAGATTACCCACCGAGGCAAGTGTAGCACTCACATCCATAATCCTAGCATTGGATCATGAATTAATCACAAATGCTAGGAGCTACTCCATGACTGCATGAGGTTTTGGGGGAACAACTATACACAAATCATAACATTCCACTCACGTCCCCCAAAGACTCATGCATATCCCTTTATGCAAAAGGTATTTTAGGCCATATTTAAGAGTTGCCAACTCCTAACAGTTTCAGCATTGCTGAAAAGTCCAAGTCCCAAGTCTCCAAGATCTAAGGCAAACTCTTAGCTGTGAGTCCCTGTACAAATGAAGTCAAACAGTTCAAACATTTAAGGACACAAGAAAAGCATTAAGATTCCAAAATGTATGAAGAGGGGACTACAAAGCTTTGGGACCAAAGTAAGTCCAAAATCCAGAAAGACAAACATTAAGTCTTGTAATTCCATGTGGAACATTCAAAGCAATCTGTGGCATATTGTGAATTCCATGTGGCTTCACCTCTATGGCTTCTCTCTTGGGCTGACTTTGCTCCCTTCTTGCAGCTTTTCCCAGATGATCATGATCCATGTTCCTGGCTTTTCCAAACTTCTGGGATTTCCACTATACATTAGGCTTCTCACTCATAGATTTATACACTGCCCTCCCAGGGGCACACTGCCTGGCCTCCCAGGCCTTCTTCTGAAATCTAGGTGGAAGCCTTCTTTACTTCAGAACTCTTGTATTCTGCAGATGCTTAAAAGCAACACCATGTGGGTGATGCTGGAGCATCAGCTGGAGCAGTGGCCAGACCTTCTTCTCTCTTGGCTGTAGGAGTTGAGTGTCTGAATTGCTGAGCACTCTGAACCTGATCCTGAACAACAAATTCTCTATGCTTCCACCATTCTGGAACCTGGTGTGGCCACCACCAGTCTGCAGCATGGCCTTCTGTGGTCTTCTCCCCAAGGCACAGTCCTTCTCCTTTGCAATTCTGAGGCTGTGAAGGGTGGAGACCTGCTGCCTCCTGTGATGCCCTCACACCATCCTTTTCTTCTCTTCTTCCTTCCTGGCAATGGAAATCTCATCTCTATCTTTTCAGTCTGTGGCTTTATTGGCACTTCTTTTCTGGCCAAATACACATTTTAAAATCATCCTTCTGGGCTTTTTGCTCTTGATTCTCAACATAAATCTGACTAAAAGTGTCCGACAATAGCCAGGCTACTGCCTCAATATTCGACTGCCTTGAAATTTTTTTTTTGCCAGATTAAGTAGTCAGCTGTGCTTAATGTCAGTCTCAGGCAAAGACTCTGGACACAAGCAAAAATCAGAAAATCTTTCTGCCAAGCCATAACACACATCATCTGGAGTCCAAAAACAAATGCAGTCCTTCCCAGAAGAAACTTTTCAGACTGGTCTTTACAGGCAGGATTTCTATCAGCCTTCTCATTTTATGATCTCTTACCAGAAATCTCCCATACAGAACAGCTGAAAGAATTCTAGTGCTTCTCCTGTAGGTGACATCTCCAGACCTTTCCTATCACTTCCCATAAGCCATTCCCGAAGTCTCTTAATCCACATGGTCAAGTTTAGTCACAGCAACAACCCCACTTCTCTGGTACCAAATTCTGTCTCAGTTATTTTTTCCTCATTGCTTGGACAAAATACCTGACATCCAGAATTAAGGAAGGAAAGGTTTATTTAGCTCACAGTTAGTGGATGTTTCGGTACATACTTGGCTGGCTCCAAGGCAGAGTAGCACATGGCAGAGGGCAGCAGCTCATGACAGTAGAAAACCACAAAGAGCAAAGGGAGAGGTAGCAGCTGAGGCAGCTAGCTAGTCTCTTTTCCATCCTTACATTGCAATGCAGATTACCCACCCCAGGGCAGGAATAGCACTCACATCCATAAGCCTAGCTTTGGATAATGAATTTATCACAAACTCTGGAAGCCAGTCCATGACTGCATGAGACTTTTGAAGGACAACTACATACAAATCATAACAACCTACAACATAAAGGAGAGGTTTAATTTGACTCTTATTTTTAGAGGATTCAGTCCATTATCAGCCAGATCCAAGACCAAAACATCATGGCAGAAGAGTTTGGAGAAGCAAAGATGCTGGTTTATGGCAGTTAGGAAACATAGCAAGAGAGCAGAGCTACAGATGAGGGGGCAGGGAACAAATATACACTCTAAGGACATGCCTCCTTGGCCCACCAAGACATACTTAGAAATGTGCTCCCCCAAGAGAATCCTAAAGTCAATCAAATGAACATTCACCCTGCCACATACTATCCCATGTCAACTTGCTATGAAAAGACATCTCTTTAAGCCACACTTAATCTCCAAATAAAGATTCAATAAAGTTAAAAACTCTCCCTAGGATAATATAATTGGAAATGCAACAACCCCATTCCCAAACTGAATAGTTCTAGCATTCTTCAAAAGTCTGTGTCCAAAGCTCAGTATGGTGGCACATACCTGTAATCCCAGCACTTATGAGACTGAGGCAGGAGGATCATTGTGAGTTTCAGGCCAGCCTGAGCTACAAAGTGAGTTCAAGGCCAACCTGAACTGTATAGTGAAACCCTGTTTCAAAAAGATCAAAAACAAAACAAAACCCCTAAAATTCCAAGTCCAAGTCTCTTCAGAGACTCAAGCAAACTGTTAGCTTTGAACCCTTGTAAAACTCAAAACTAATCATACCACCCCAAGGTATAATTGTGCAGGGTAAACATTCCCATTCCAAAACAGAGCAATAAGGCGAAACTGAAACTCATTAAGTCCTGTACTTCTGGAATTCAGGCATGTGGCTGTGAGCTATGAGTCTCAGAGCTTGGGTAGCGACACTCCTATGGCCTTGCTAGTTGTCACCACATGGCCTTTCTATTGGGCTGATTCTACTTATGGCCATAGATGTTTTTGGCACATGTTTCATGTCCCTGGTATCTCCAACTTTCTGGAGTCTTCACTGCACTTTGAGCTTCCTTTCCACAGCTTCATGCACTATGTTTTTAGGGGTTCCTTGCCTGATCTTCCTGGAGGGACACTTCCTGACTCTTAACACTTAACACTTGTACTCTCTAAGCTGTTAAAATCAATGTTAAGGCCAGGCATGATGGTGCATGCCTGTAATTCTAGCACTCAGGAGGTTGAGGCAGGAGGATTATTGTGAGTTTGAAACCAGCCTGGGGTACAAAATGAGCTTAAGGTCAGCCTGAACTGCATAGTGAAACCCTGCCTCAAAAAGACAAAAAGCATCAACATTAAATGGATGATACCAAGTTCTGCCACCAGAATGGGCAGTAGATGGGACCCCTTGGATCATACCAGCAACCCCCTCTGAATGTCTGGATGGCTGTACAGGGTGAAATGAATCCTGGAAAACTAATTCCTCGGGTGGCTCTTGTTGAGCAGGGACCCATAGATTCTTTTCTCAAATGTTAAATATATACTTTTGTACTTTTGAGCCTGCAATTGGGTGAGATCTAGCAGATTCTGGGAATGTCCTCAATTCATCTTTCCTCTTATCCTGGTACAAAAGTACTTATTTTCATTTTAATGATGCTAATCTCTTTAGCAAACACAGCTCTTTTGGCCCCAACATTGCACATAGTTCTTTTGGGGCCAAAATTAAGCTTTTCAGAATTTCCTGTTCTGATTTTTGCACCCAAATTTTGCCATTTGATAGATTATATTTCTAGACACTTCCAGGGAAACACAGCGGACTAATTATAGTAGACATAGCTGTAGTAATCATTATCTTGATAATTATTCACTTCCAAGATTTAAAAATTCTAAAAAGCATTGTTTTGTTAAAGAAAAATTTCTAATCTATTTTGTAGTGTAGGAACCACAGTTTCATTTCTGATATCTATAAAAGGTATTTTGATTAAATGTCTGCATTATGGTTCCTTAGTTGAGAAAATCACAAATTATTTCTC